CCTTTCTCCTCCTCCTCTGCCTCCTCTTCCTCCTCCTCCCTCTCTGCATCCTCGATTTCTCCCTCTCTCTCCACTGCCCAATGGCAAACTATTCCATTATACATAAATGTCCCTTTTCTGTCCTTAGCTGGATTAGTGGAAAGAGCTGAATCTGACAACAAACCAGAGAAGAAAACCAAGAGAGTCGAGGTCATTATAGAACAAGATCTGACGCCAGAACAGCATGAAGAACTTGCAGATTCTGTGAGGGTGAGTTATATTGGTGCTTTTATTCAGTTTGTTACTTTGTCGTCAGTGATCATTACGATTTGTATGATTCATTCAGTCGGACAATAAATGGATGTTTTTTTGTTATTTTTCCAGAGAGAAGGTTTATTAAAATGGACTTGAAATGAATGGATACTATTTGAGCACTAATACTTGGTTACTTAGCATTAGTTTTATTAAAATGAACTTGAATTGAATGGATATTACTTGCACACACTGTTTAATAATAGCAGCATCAACATCACTATTATCAGACCCCTTGCTAATGTCATAAAATGGAATTCTTTTGGTTTGAATAAACTAAAGCAAATCTTATAACTTCACTGACAGTTTTAAATGAACCTCAACTAAAGGATTATAAATCAAAAAACATTAAAAAAGCATATGATCTGTATTTATCGTGTACTGTACATTCCTGAGTGAATATCATCACTACTAAGGTAATATTTTGAATAGCCATGAACGTGTGTCCGCGGATACTTTTTATTTATTTACAATTTGATTCAAATAAATGGCAATACCTTCATTTTACCACTATACTATATTTAATAATAATATTCATATTTTCCACTTTAAGCATTCAGAATTCTCATTTCATTTCTCCTCAGAAAATAGCATACATATATACATATTCACAAATTTCGTCTTTTTATCCCCTAGGTAGCAGTGAAAGATTTGGGTTTCACGGAGATTAGCCCTCAATGCATAGAACAGTGGTCTGTCAAAAGGCGGATTATTGAGGTGGTCAGACGGTTCTTCGAGTTTCAACTGAATATGGAGATTGTGTAGCTGTTGTGATATTTCCCTGACTCCCTGACCACCACTGTGTTTGCGAAAATCACCTTTCACGCACTTTGTTTCCATATGCTGGCCAAGCAAATTATGCCGTCAACTTATCTGAAGATCCTATATGCTATGCTCAGACTGTCTGTCACGCTAAAAACCTAGGTTCTTTATATCCTCTTTTCTCCTGTTCATTATCTGTTTCTTGGGAGCAATTTGTTTTCCTTCTTATTTTCACATTCTTTTATTATTTATTCATAATCTTCTCAATCATGCATATTTCATTGTGATTATTAGGCATGTTGAGCTTATGTTCACTCATAGGGTACATTTTCTTTCTTTCTTTATTATTTTTTTTTAAGTTATTCAGTTCATTTACCACCTCCTCCCACTCTTTTATTCCAATGTCACTCTTTTTAGTTATCTTTTGTTATATTCTGTTTCCTGGATTTTTGTTTTTTGTTTATTTTCTTTGTAATTCAGTCCCTTGCAGAATACACACACACACTACCCACACATGCACACACAGGCAGAGCGTGTGGAATTCATGTCAAACAAACTGCCCTGGTGAAGCAGTAAAGTGAAAAGGCATTCCTTCAGTATATCTGTGTGTTATCCTGTCATACCTTTGTTCTACTTTCACTCAGACACAGACACAGACACACAATCTTGGTTATTTAGCATTAATTTTAGCCGCAGCCCTACTATATGCGCATGCTAAGGCCACCCTGGGGATCTGCCTGTTTTATTTTTTCATTTACTAGGAACTGAATTTTATAATGGATAGAATTTGATTCAAATTTCACTCTTTTCTTACCACTGGCTTTGGTTCAACTGATACTGAATTTAATCAGTCATCTCATTTCCTAATGCTTCTAATAGTTTGGCAACCTGTTAAACAACTTGAATGATTGAGTTTTTGTCTTTACATATATAATGACGTATATAATGACGTTACATATATAATGACGTAACTTTCATTTCCTCTTGTAGAGAGAAGAGGAAAAGCTTGAGTTATTTTTTAAGCTTTCCCCGGTAATTATTAAGTTGTCTTTGCATATATAATGATGTAACTTTCTCTGTTTTTGGAAAGAGAAGAGGGAAAGCTTGAGTTATTTTTTAAGACTGGATGTGTCTAATTTTTGGGGAAAAAACCTTTAAGAGCCTATTCTATTGGCATTATAGCCTTTGTAAAACTTGGAATCACTTATATTCTCTACAGTGCCAGTATATATTCTGACTCTCTTGTCTGAAAAGTCCTCCTTATCCCTCCACTCATAAATTTTCCTCAGATGACTGCTTGCTCAGTGTGATGATTTAAAGCTCATGGCATTACTCACAAATAGGCATGGGTCTTTTACAACTATTTGTTCTTTGATCTCTACTAGTGTGTAGAATGTGATCTTGATCTATCAAAATTACTGGTTTCAAAATTACTTTACAAAATATA